AAGAATTCGAATGAAGTACCAACAACCCAAGTTCAGGGACTCCTGTAAGTCACATTCAGGTCCCAGAAAGAGAGACTTGAGTTGGACTTGGAGTGAAAAGGCTTGTCCTGCCCACAAGCCCACTTATTTTCCAACAAAATTTTGAGAAAGCCTCAGTTGTTCTTCCTAAGTGGCCGGGACTGGTATTTGACGCCTAGGAGGACAGGAGTGGGGGGTGGATGGGTAGAGACATGGAGGCAGGGGAGGTGCAGCTGGACCTCAAAAGGTGCATCCCCTCCCTGATGACAGCAAGCGGGACTTCCCAATATCCTGTCCCCACAGGCATCTGCTTTCCAGTCTCGTGGATTTCAGGGGCGGATCTGGGGGTGGAGGTGGTTGTAGGAGGAAAGGGGCTGGACCCTGTGACCAGGTCCTCCCTCCCTGCCCAGGAGAAGCTGCGCTACCTCCAGCAGCAGCTGCAGGATGAGGCGCCGCGGAGGCAGGAGACCGAGCTGCTGGAGCTGGAGGAGAAGCTGGAGGCCGGCCTCTCCCGGCAGTGCCTGGGCCCCGCCGCCTCGACCCAGGGCTGCTCTGGCCCGCCGGGGAGTCCCGACGAGCCCCCATGGTCGCGCGGCCTGGCCCCTGGCGGCTGGGGAATGGGGCCCCGGGCAGGGGAGGGTCCCCACCTGAGCGACCAGGAATTGCAGATGGTGTCCACGGGCCTCGAGGAGCTGAGGTGGGCGGGACCTAGAAGGTGGCGCCTCGAAAACCTGAGGGGGGCGGGGATACGGGTGGGCCCTGAGGAGTTGAGGTGGGCGGGGCCTGGGGAGGTAAGGTGGGCGCGACCCAAGGGGAAAGGCCTGTGGAGCGGAGGCGGGCAGAATCCAAGGGCGGAGCCTCGAGGCGTCGAGGTGGGCGTGACCCAAGGGGTGGAGCCTTGAGGAGCTGCTGGGGGTGGGACCTAGAGGAAAGAATGCGCGAAAACCCGAGGTGGGCGAGGCCTCGGGAGGAGCATCGAGGAGATGAGGTGGGCGGGGACACAGGTGGAGCGGAGGAGTTGAGGGGTCGTCGCCCAAGGGGAGGAGCTTCGTGTAGCTGAGGTGGGCGGGATCTGCAGGGTGAAGCCTGGAAAACCTAAGGCGGTCGAGGACTCAGGGGTGGAGCCTCGAGGAGCAGAGGTGGGCGGGATCTAGAGGGAGGAGCCTGGAAAATCTGAGGTGGGCGGGGACATGGGTGGAGCCTGAGGAACCAAGGGACCCAAGGGGCGGGGACACGGGAGTGGAGCCGGATGATTTTAGCGACCCGGTGCAAGGGTGAGGTCCAGAAGAACGACAGGGGCTGTGTTTTGGGGGAGGTGACCCATGGAAAAGAGTGACTTTTTTTCTTTTTTTGAGTTGGAGTCTCACTCCGTCGCCCAGACTGGAGTGCAGTGGCCGCTCCCGGCCACCGCAACCTCGACCGGCTGGGCTCCGGCGATCCTGCCGCCTCAGCCTTCCAAGTAGCTGGAATTACAGGCATGCACTACCACGCCTGGTTGATTTTTT